GCACACGAGATTTACTAACAATTTCGTGCAGGAATTTCACAGTGTTTGGAAGTTTTTCACTGGCCACCACTTTTGTGAGAGGCCCTCAGACCCCAACACAAAGAATAGGTTTATAGTGAATAAACTGATGAATGCACAATCGGCCGTTTGCGGCCTAAGGGTCCTGAACCCTCAACTTCTGTTTATAAATAAAGTATCCAAGTCCACAAATAATTCCCAGCAATAAGTCACACAAATAAATCAGCAGGTCTGTTCTCTCCAAAGTCCAGAGCAGGATTGATTGATTCTGCTGTTCCTTCCTCACAGGTCCTGGTCCTCCCCAGTGGAAAGCTTCTCCAAGGTTTTCACTGGGGTGCGACTGATTGTCTGTTTTTAAATTCCATATAATTTCTTTCATCAAGTGGTGATTCACTTGATGGAATATTTTTCCTGAAGATCAATATCTTCAGGTTTCATAATGTTTGGATAAAAATATTTGTTCTTTTTTGTTCCACAATATTCTCGAATTTATTTTCTCGTACGACGTAGCATTTCCATGCGCTGCGTCGCACTTTCTGTGCCTCTCCTGTTCGTGCGCTGCGGGCGACATCTAGTCGACCCGCGACACCATTTGTAGCATGTGCTGAAGACGTGGAAGATTCTGGTGCTGCTGCTGAATGTGATGACATACCAACTCCACAACAGCCACGTTTGCAGTTTTCTCATTTGTGTATATACAATGTTGGTAACATGTTCCCCACATAATAAATATTTTTCCTCTACTATTTGTAGCAATACTCACAAATGTTCAAAATGTGGAACAAGTATGCAAAGCGTGTGGTACATGTTTATCATGCAAAGGGTGTGGCTCAGGAATGGAAATAGTAGAATTCTTTTACAGCAAACGCATACGTCAAAGCAGAAATGAAATCAACTGTTTTTCGACGTTTGGATGATCAAGGCTGGTAAAGGAATAACAACGTGCAACAAGTGTGATGCTTTCTTGAAATTGACGTCACATGTTCTGCAATATCTCAAGTATGACAAGGAACTGTGCAAAATTGTGAAGAGGCATCGTTCGACTATTTTGGACTTCAGAAAGGTTAAAATCTGACTAAAAACCTCAGAAAATGTTCCATACTTACTTGACCAATGTATTCCTGTTTTAATATAAAATGTAGGCGTACAGTGCTGGACCTAGTG